TACATGAAAATAACAAAAATATAAAGCATTCAACAGTACTGTACTTACAACCCATACTGAAAGAGAGAAATAAAGGAAAATTGTCACATAGCATTCTCCCTTTAATTCAAATATATAACATCATCTAATAAAATGGGACAAATAATAATTGCATAAACATGAGCAACTGAAATCATGACAATAAAATGGGAATGAAAAATAAGAAAAAAAATAATATTCTAAGAACGAAAGTACATAAAATTTTAAGATAATAGTAAATGTACATACCCACACTGAGGTGACTAAATCCGCCCTCAAATTCATAGGCAAAACGTCGGCTAACGGTCGTAATAGGCTGATCGATGGTTGTGACTGTCTCTTTTAGCGGCGGGGAATAAGAAAGTGAAGGAACCACGTTGAAAACCAGACATGCAATGGCGATCCCTATCACAAAACAAACAAATCTTTCTTCTTTAAACATATATTTTTTGTGATCTTTTTTTATGTGATATTTTTTTAAGTGCGAATCAGTGCCCATTCTCTCTCTCTCTCTCTCTCTCTCTCTCTCTCTCTCTCTCTCTCTCACTCTCTTTCTCTTTCTTTCTCCTCTGTATGATTTTATTATGTTTCTATGTTATTGTGTTTTGATCAATGGAAACACACAAGAAATGGGGGATTTTCTATTTAGAAAGTTACGAAAGTTACAAGAAAATTTATGGAAGAAGAATAAATGAGGATTTTGGATTGAAACAGAAAAATATAAACATGTGAGGGGAAAAATCAAGAGAAATCATTAAATATATAAATTCTTGTGCATGAGTTACTATACATAAACCTTTTTCTATTTTTATTATTTTCTTTGTGTGGAAGTGTGTGTGGTGTGTGAAATACTCAAATGGTGGTTAGAAATTAGAATTGATATCTAAAATTTTGCATGAAATTTCGGAGTAAGATTGCTTGATGTCCAGGGCGTGACTCTTGCTATTTTTATGTTTACTAAATTTCTTTGTGTCTTAACTATTACCTTACATAAACGTTTGAAGGAAATTTTAAACACTATAGAAAAAAATACTCCAGTATTCAATAAATTAAGGAATATATATACAAAACTGAATTCACATTTTAAGCAGCAAAAATATAGCAAATCTTCTTTAAGTATGTGTAGCCATCAAGGAAATCTAGAATTAAGTAATGATTTTGTTTATTAAAATTTACCCAAATTATCATTTTTTTCAGGTACATTATTTCCGTCAAGTTTAAATAACTCATTGGTCATGACTAGTACGTACGAGACAGAGATATTAAATGAGTTATTTTCACAATCTTGTCCGTTTAAGTCTAAAAAATAATAAGATTATTATCTATTTTCTACCTCTTTTAATCAACGTTAAGTCTAAAAATCAATAGGGTTATTATAATTTTTTTTCCACATCTTTTAACCGGCGTTGTGTTTTTAGCCAGAACATTAAATATGAGCATGTTAGGGCTAGCTTATAAAATAATTAATATATTATCTCACTAAAACATTTGTAGTAATAAAAATTTAATTTTAGCATATAAATTTATTCCTTGATATAAGAGAAAATAACAATTCTACTTATTGTTGTTCACCATATAATATTTAATTATTATTTTATTATTATATAATAAAAAGAATATTGTTATATAGTGTAGTAGAATTGTTATAAAATTATATGAATTATTTTTATTTATAATATGAATTTAATATCTTTTTATGATTTTATAATATAAACAAATCTATACCTACCTTTGACTTTTCCAGCAAAGGTAAAAAAATCGGTTCTGATTTTTATCCCATAACAAATCTTTAATGTCAAGCCTATAAATACCAAAACAAATCTGTAATTAATGTCATTCTATTTCCAGCAAGCATTAATTACCTTTGACTTTTCTGCCTACTATTTCTAGTAAATAGGATGACTTTTTATATAAGTATAGATTTTGAGGTCCGGCTTTTATCTCATTGACAATATTTTATTTATAAACATAAAAAAAGAAATATTTTGCCCAATTTACATTAAGTATCAAATTTTTATGATCAATAAAATATAAAATAAGAATTTGATACTCAATCATAACCATTAAGAAACAAGATGTGTGGCCAAGATTTAAATATTTATTTTTATTTTTTAATTATTTAAATAATAATTTGATAGCTGACTTCGGTCGTTGACCGTTCACCGTACTATGCATTGTGTATGAAGTAAATGGCACTCATAATATGAAATTGATATGAACTAAATGTGCATTTTGCATGAACTGAATGTGCAGCCAAAATATAAAATTAAATGTGTATTTTATATAATTATAATTATTTTTTATTATATAACTAATATAAATTTCAATTGATTAATATGAGTTATTGATCTACACAAATAAATGTCTATAATTGGACCTCACATGAACTAAATATGCACTATGATGAACTAAATATGCATTTTTTTTACCTAAATATCTAAAATGAATGAACTAAATATGCATTATGTGTTACAATAATTATATAATAAAAATTTAAAAAATATTATATCAAATTAATTATATAGCAAATTGATCGGTTTGAACTAAATATGTATGGTAAATTTGCAGTTGGTACGAACTAAATATGTATGCTAGATATACATTTTTTCGGAATAAATATACATTGTGTATGAAGTATATTTGCACTCGAAATATGCAGATGATATGAACTAAAATATGTATTTTTAATGAACTAAATGTAGAACAATAATATTAACTAACTATGTATTGTTCATGAACTAAATATGCATTTCATATGTAGTTAGTTAGCATATAATACAACGGACAGAAGTAACGGGGACAACTATAGAACATGTAACACGTTGTGGAAAATATTCAGCAACAACCTTACCTTATTTTCCGGGTTTTTTTTCTCCGGTGAATTCAGCAAAACACTTCTTGTGTTTTCGGTGTCCTCGGGCATCAACGGCTCTGTGTGTGTTAGATTGAGGAAAACACTGATATAATATTGAATGTGTGTGTGAAAAAATTGAACTATGCCAGCTAAAAAGTGGTTACAAAGCCGGTAGACAATTTTAATACTCAATTGCTATTCATCGCCCCCCCTATTACTACTTACCGCCCCTTTTGGACAATTTTGCCCCTAGCATTTTTTTTCAAAAAGTAAAAGAAAAAAATTAAACCGTCTGGCCGCCGGAACCGGACGGCTTTTAGCCCGTCCGTTGGTTCGGACGGCATAAAAACCGTCCGGTTCCGGCGGCCGAACGGGCTAAAAGCCGTCCGGTTTCGGCGGCCGGACGGGCTAAAAGCCGTCCAGTTTCGGCGGCAGGACAAAATAATATATTAATAAAAAAATTTATATTAATTAATTTATTTGAAAAAAAATAATATAATCTAAAACAAAAAAATATTATATTAATAAATAAAAAGTATATTAATTAATTTATTGGATAAAAAATATTTTTAATTATCAGAAGAATAATAATTATTAAATATTATTAAATTAATTAATCACTATTTAAATGGGTAAAAAATTTCACTTTTTAATAATAATTAATTTCACTTAAAAAAGTTAAATAAAAGATATATTAAAATATATATATATATATTAATAATTAGTTGTATTAAAAAAATTATATATATATATATTTATTAAAAGATATATATACATATATATATATATATAGTTAAAGAATATATTAAAAAATATATATGTAATTTGTTAGCAAAAAAATGTTTATTTTTTATTTATTTATTTATTTATTTTCCAGAACGACAGAGGCAACTATTATAAAACTCAAAGCGAACAAGGTTCGAATACAAAGACATACAAATCCGAAAAAATGTTTACTAATTATTATTTTATATTTTTGATTCAGCGTGTTAGTAGACCCTGAATCAATACATAATTTTTCGATTGCAGAGACAGGCTCGTTCGTGTTACAGAACAATCAAAAATCGCATCAATGGTATTTTTTTTTTCATTTTTAAGTTGAATGGTTTTTTTTGTTTTGCTAAACTTCAGTTGAATGAGCTTTTTTTTTATTCTAACGTCCAATTTATAACAAATTATTTTGAATATATAACATAATAATTTATAATAATATTATTTTATTAAAAAAAAAAACATGATGTCCGGCCGGTCGGACCGGTCATGACCGGCCGTCGGGGCCGGACGTCATTTGGGCCGTCCGGTTTCGGCGGCCGGACAAAAATATATATATATATATTTTTTAATTTTTGGAAAAAAATGGCAGGGGCAAAAATGTCCAAGGGGGCGATAAATAGTAATAGGGGGACGGTGAATATTAATCTCCTTTTAATAAAGCTGGTGAGGTGGGACCCGTAGAATCAAAACTTATTTTTGTAATTTGGTATCCAAGCAGTGTTTAAACAATAATTTGGGTAGAATTGGTTAGTTTCTTATATGAGAAACTTATATCGAAGCAAACCCCAAATGATGCTCTAATATATCTCAAGTAGGCGAATCTATATCTATATCTATATCTATATCTATATCTATATACATATAAAAAGGTTGTTGGAAAAATACATCAATAGAAAGTTTGATCAAATAAATATAACGTTTGACTTACTATTAATGAAAAGTTTGAAAAAACACATGTGAATCTTTAGTAACAAAATTTAAATCCTATTTTTTTGGTAAAAATTTGGAGATTTTTATGGCAAAATTTGAATCCCATTTTTTCGTATCATATTTTATTTTTTTACAAAATTTAAATCATATCTTTTTTTGTAACAAATTTGGAGATTCTTATGCAAAAAATGTGTCAATTATTTATGAAAATAATTATAAATACAAATTAATTTAAAAATCGTACAAATTGGATACAAATTTAGGAAGCAAATAGTTGTATAATTGTTATCCAATTCTTCCAATCTTATTGAATAATTTTTTCTTTCAAAAAATTTGTGTTGGATAAAGCCACGTGCAAATTTTATTTTTAAATAAAACAGATATTTGGATGGGATGTACATTCAAAATTGTGTCCACATTATTTGGTAACAAAAACGGTTCATCATTGATATTTAAAGTCACTTTATCCAATTATTTAGGAAAAAATGTGTGCAACTTTTCAAAATTTAAATGCATCGATTGTTTTGGATTCTTATGTTTTTTCTTAATCATCTTTTACCGAGATTTGGGTAAGTTTGTTAAGTTCATATAATTTTCTTTAGGAAAGAGACAATTGCATAAACATTAACAATTTATTTTATTTTTTTATTATAATTATTTTCAATTCAATTTATTTGGTATAAAATCGGTGCAATGTTAGGAAAATTTGGTTGCATTTTTAGGAAAAATTGATGATTTTTTTATTGGTTTAAAAAAAAATTCGAATCAATTTGTTTGATAAAAAATTGATTTATTGGTAGGAAAATAGGTTTCATTTCTAGGAGTAACTAATGACTCTTTTAATTTTTCTTAATTGAAATTTAGAAATAGATTTAAATAAATAATGGGTGAAAGTCCTTAAAAAATTTTACTTTTTTTTCTACTTTAATTTTGTATAATAAATAAGTTTCTTTAATTTTTTTTAAAATTTGTTAACTAATAACTAATAATATGCAATTTTGGATAAATTCGAAAATACATGTAGTACTTTACGTACCAAATAATCAAATCAATAATGTTGTACATAATGAAGTGTTTAATAACATACAAAGTTCATTTTCATGAAATTTTTAATGGCATGAGACAATTTAAATACAAATTACATTTTAAAATATAAATAGGTAATAAATGTTCCCGTGCATCGCACGGGTACCATACTAGTTAGATGTAAAGTATCATGGCCCAATAAATTATGGGTTTTAATTTCCCCTCAACTTGGGCCTTAATTCGCCTAATATTGGGGCCTCGACAATGGCGTATTCGAACTCTTGTCTAATATTTATTCGAAAAATGCTACAAGTACATAATATGTGTACATAACACTCACATGGAGTGGAGTCCACTCGATTTTTTATTTTGGTCGGTCTCACTCATTGTGAGTGTTATGTACACCCCTATGTACAATATTATGTACATATAACATTTCTCTATTTCTCCACCCACATATATACTCCAATATGCTGAAAATAAATATAAAATTAATATTGAATGCGTGTTTGAAAAATTGAATTATGCCGGCTAAAAATTGGTTACAAAGTCGATAGACGATTTTAAAAAAGCTGGTGAGATGAGACCCGCAAAAGCAAAATTGATTTTGTAATTTGGTATCCAAGCACTGTTGAAATAGTAATTTGGGTACAATTGGCCAATTTCTTTTCTAGGAAACTCATATCGAGACAAACCCCAAGTGTTTCTCTTTCTTTTTTTTTTTCAAAACGATAATAACTTCATTAAAAAAGCTCGCAACATGTACAAATCGTACAACCAAATGGTTGAAGGAATCTACTTCACAATCGAAATAGACCTTTACAAGGAAATCACACCAGATTACCTCTAACAGCTTCACAAGCAAGCTTATGACTAAGAGCACATAGACTACCTCCAAAAACAAAAGAAATAAAAACATCACAAGAGTTAAAGATTATATATGTCTTGAAACAATGTCATAGAATGAGGAGAAAAACCCATGCCCGATATTAATTTTTGCATTAAGTCCTTGCACTTCACCATGCACTCACATCTAGTCCATCCTCCCTCTTTAGCCAGAGTCAGTCCCCATTTAATTCCACTCAAGTGTGTGATTTCAGCATCCCCCATGGTTGTATCTGTCTTTGCCCAAGTTTTGGTGATCTGCTCTTGTCTTCTAAGCACACACCCAAACTCTACAATACCCTGAGCTGAGATGTGAGTACTGATAGCTATGGATAGCTTTCCTACTCCAATCTCCGGTTCTTCCTCTTCACTGTCCTCATCCCTCTGAGCCAATCTAGTCAATCTACACACATCTTTCTTCCTTGGGTTAACCGCAAGTGATCCTCAAATATATCCCAAGTGGACTTATTAGATGTCAAGTATCATGACCCAATAAATTATGAGTTTTGATTTCCCCCTTTCGAGCTCTTATACAATATTTCTCCACCCACAAAAAATCTCGAATATGTTGAAAATAAATATAAAATATCAAAGTATATGAATCCATCCAAATAATAGATACGTAAAAAAATGTAACGTGTGAATAGATTAAATATATAAAAATATGCATATTTTTCGATCTATCATAAACAAACATACAACATATAAAAATTTTATTTGTATTTTTATATGTGTTCATGATCGAATGCTAATTATAAGACATATATAAGGAATGAAAAAAAAAAAGTTATAAACAATTTCATAATTAGCGAACGTGGTAGTATATTTTCCAAACACCAGCTCTCAAGGTGTCAATCTCCACTCAGAACATGAAAGGCACCAGCATGTTGAAAACATACTTGTTGGTATCTGAGTTAATTCATGAGGGAACCGCGGGTTGAGAACAATCTAGCAGGGCCAGACCGGTACTTGAATCGCAGGAAGACCGGGCTGGACAAATAGTAAAGTTGTTAAGGGTTGCTCGTGGAACAGTTTCTCGGGACGACACTCTAGGTGCCTAGAAGACGATGTCGACCTTCACAAATACCGAGTTGGAAAAAGAGGATCCGAAGACCAGATGCTGAGGATAGCTTAAAGTCATGGCGGAGGTCCAACATGAAGATTTGACAAGATCGGCCCCTTATGCATCCAAGGCCCGGAAATCATTTAATATTGTCACTTGTCAAGTGATGATTGCTGACCTAGCTCGATAGGACGGCCTGTTAGCATTAAATGCCCCACATGTGTGCATTTAATGCTTAACAGATAACTATTGGAAAAATCTCAGACCTCATTTAATGCTTGTCAGAGCAGCTCCGACCCGTAATTCCGAATTACTGTGAGAAATGACAAGATAGTGTATGAATAGTATTAGATTGGATTTACTATAAATAGCTGATCACCCTCATTTATTAAGGATTGATCATTCGGGGGGAGGCGGGACACTGCGAGGTGGGTAGTTTATCTGGGGATTTACGAAGTCTAAGTTATTTATTTGATTAGTAATCAAGGATGATCTCTCTACAAACTCTCTCTCTCCCTCTCTACATTTATTCTGTGAACAGAGTAAACAATATTCGTAATTAATCCCAAGTGTAAGCAAAGAGCCGACCTCGACACTAGAGGCCGATCTCGTGATTGGGTAATAAAAATCCATTTCTCTCGTAAATTTTCCTTTTGTTGTCTCTTATTCCCATATTTACTTATTCACGATATAAAATTAACCGTTGATCGATTCCGATCGTCAACAATACTATTTCATAACTCTTTTTCTAGGTCGAAGATATTCAATACATTTACAAAATTACAATGCCAAATAACACAACAAACAATTACAAAATTACATAGCTTGTCCATTCTCTCTCTATATATATTTACACAAAAATTGATTATATCACAAAAACCAACATCATCAGCTTGAACTCGGGACCTTATTTAGCAATCATCTTCAAATTGGAATCCATCCCTGTTGTATTTTAAGAAATTAATCAATTAGTTCATTTGTGAAGTGAATCAAAGAACAAAAGTTGAAAAACGGAAGATTATCACATAAACTCATCAACTACCTTTATTAGTCCTTTCTCAGTTCCACACAAAATTATGTCATTAGCTGAGAGTAAACTAGTTATCTTGCTACCAGCTGACAGTCTCCCAACCTTTTGTTGTGTCCCTCTCAGCCATATCTGTCATCAAACAATTGTACCTATATTAGTCAATTTTTTACAAAGTCAAAAATTGGATTAGAAAACGAAAACTATTTTGCATTTTAGAATTTTCTCTTTATTTGTTCATTAGAATCTACCTGGAGGCTGCTCATTGATGTACTGCAATTTATATATATGAAATCCTCGAGTACTTCCATAGATACAACACTTGCTCCTTTCTCGGGCATTATCGATATTTGAGGCTTGTTGCTCCTTCTCCACTCCTGCATTTCTCGACCAACCAATCAATAAAATACGACAAGCTTTTTATTAATATCCAATTTTTTTTTTTTTGTTACCTTAATCTTGGAGCCCTCGACAGCCGAGCTTGCACAATATAACCAGTCTTTGTACATGGCGACCGAGCTTATAGGCTTAGTTTGCATCCAGCTCTTTAAAGGTGCTTTGATTTCTTGCTGGCGATTGTTAACAATCATCAATTCCTGGATTAAACACTTTGTTACTACCTACATTGTCTTAAGAGTATGTCGAGGGAGCTTATGTATGGAAAGACATAATAAAAGAGATTGTCATCTTTTGAATGAAAGCGAAAAACGCAAACAGATCATTTTGAGGTTTAGCAAAACTGTCAATCTTTCTGATTCTATATGAATTGCTTAGAATTTAAAAGTTGATAGTAGGGAGATATGGGCTTAAACCTGAATGCTCGAATCCATGCAGCCTCCGTAAACTTTCCCCTGTGACACCCGTACACACTTCACACGTTTGTTCTTGAAAACGTCTTTGGATTTTCTTGATGCATCAATAACCTGAAGACCATGTTTGTCAATCTCCACTTGTCAATGACAGAAGTTTTTGTTTTCATTTCGATAAAATATTTTTTTTTAATTTTTCTGCATGAAGCTGCTATTGTGCCTACCTTCAATTTGTGGCTTTGGGTGCTAGCAAATATCAATTCACCACAAGCATCTATACTTCTAACTGATTCCTTTGTGGGTATCACCTCAATGCATTCGAGGTTCTTCTGGAGCATTTGCCATATCTATCAAACAACATAATTTTTTTGAAGATTAGTAATAACTCTGCTATTTGTCAACTGTACTTGACTGCAGAAAAGATAAAATAGTCAGTTACCTTGATTGTTTTATCATTAGAGCCACTCAGAAGGCAGTTCCTAGGTTCATATAGTGCAAAGCATGTCACGGCCTTTTTGTGCTCTTTCATTTCTTGAATAAGTGTGGCTGTTTGTCTTTTGATGTCCCAAACCTAGTCATATAAAGGGTATTTGCATTAAACGAGTGTTTGTAACACTCAGTAGTTGTGAAAATGAAATGTTTTGGTTCAAGTTAATTGAACAACACTAATAAGAAACCTTAATCGAGCCATTGGCATATCCACTGTACAATAGTCCCCTGTAGTAAATAAGGGCAGTCACAGCTCCACTGTTTTTATTTCCTACCTCAAGAATCTGGCTGTGAACGCACGATATTCTCTGCATTTGCCATTTAAAGTTGAAATAAACCAAGTTAATAGTGCCTTCATCAGCGGATATCATTCTAAAGCAATCGGAACTAATACATTAACTACACTCACCCACTTATTTGGCTGGAAATAATCAGCTACTTGCAGCAACTCCTCTGCCATCCATGTGACGTTGGACAAGCGCCTCAGTGATTCTCGCACTCCTTCTGATAGATTGATTATTTTCTTCATTCCTGTGTAANAAAAAAAAAAAAAAAAGAACTAGAAAATTATTTCTTGAACTTTACACCGAGATTTTAGTTAGCATTTCGAATCTTATAAAAATTTCAAATAATAAAAAAGGGCTTGTACCTTTCCCTGAAGTGTAGTTGTAGATGCATAAGCATGCTAACAATCTTTCTTCAAGCTCTGAACCAGGATGCATGTACTGTTCTATACTCTCTAGCAAAATGTCACAAGCAGAATGCCTCAGCTCATTCGGACCTTTCACCAGCTCACACCCGAGCCAAGCAGCAGCCACAAGACAGTCTCGTGAAACTCTCTTGAAATTGCTCTCGAGTCCCTTAGTCAATGCATGGAAAACTGGAGCCCCAAGACATAATACCCGTTGAGCTGTTCTACTACTCCATGGATCAATTCCACCATCCTACAAGTAAAACCTAAATAAATAGAAATGCAGTATTCTTTAAGAAGAAAAAAAGAAATACAAAGGTTTATTCACCTGCAGGCTAGGATCATGAAAGTCAAAGTGTTTAATCAAGTTCCTGTGATGTGCTGAGGTCAATCCGGTCTTTTTCACTAACCATGCTGTGGTGTATGGTTCACCTGTCCAAGAGTATGTCCCACCGAGATTCGATAGGATGAACGCTGATAGAGCCTGTGTAGCTGGGTAATCTTCACGTGTAAGTGAGTCTATGATAATCTCTGTTGCTTCTTCTTTATGAACACGTTTTACAGACGTATTTTCCTGAAAAGATAAAGATGTTATATGCTGTTAAAGTAAGATAGCAACTCCGTATAAAATATATAGTTGAGAATCCGATGGTGATAGTTTTAGAAGCTGTAGAAGCTATCTGTGCATATATAATTGGCATGTGAAGATTTAAAAGTTGAGAATTTAGTGTTTTATATAATCACTTACAAGAACTTGTAATTGAAGTAGCAAATTTGCTGCCAGAAGTCTGTATTCCGTGTCCGGATTCTGTGTGAGCACGAGCAAAGCACACGCATTGTTCACGCTTCCTTGTTTTTGTATCTGCTCCAGTAAACCACTGGCTGATGACCTAATGCAGCAAAGCATAACCACGACTTTAATTTATACTGAGAAGACGAAATCAATATATTTTATATATATAAAGATTTATTTTTTATTTTTTTAACCACCATTAAAAATTTCATCATACCTCGGCATCCTAAGCAGCTCGTTGAAAAACTCGAGCGCCACACGCGCCGCGCGTCTCTCATTCCTCCACAGGAGGCTCACAAGGTCTGCAACGGGAGCGTATTCCACCACGTACTTCCTGCATTCTCCGTCGAACCTCATACACTCGACCAGCACCGCCGCCAGCGACACGAGCTCCTCTGGATTCTCCCCCCTCGGCACCCGCACCAGCCGCGACAGTACCCTGGGCGAGCTGATTGCCGCCAGGTGTGCGCCGTTCGTCTCCCCGTCGAACGCCGTCACCAGCACCTCGATTATCATCAGCGACGCCGACGGCGGCGTCAGCAGCGGCGGCGCCGGATCCGGCTTCCGGC